CCTCTTTTATATGAGTAGGGATTAGTGATGAAATTATATGTATGGGTAATCTTCTCAGTTTTTACGCCTTTCTAAAGATTTTGAATCAAAATTATGGTAATTGATGAAAAGTAAAGCTTTAAAATGCTAAGAAAAAAACGTTAGGACAAATATGCTACTGAAGTTAAACATTAAGACGAAATGCATAATCCGTCAGTGGAAGAAATGGAAAATTTCGCTCCATATTCTTGAAAGAAATGGCGAAGTTGTTTGGTGCCTTAGTAAATGAATTCTTTCCTATGATTCTGTTATTTTCATTTTCTAAACCCACGTCTTTTCTCAGATTCCCATTTTTTTTTTTTTTATTAAAATTCTGGTTCTTTTTTTTTTATTTTTTATCGTCAAATGTGTAGTATATAAATCGAAAATCAGGCACAAATACTCCGGGCATTCCTGGGTCCAACTATCAAAGTCGATATGATATTCACATGCATCCGGGCATACCTGGGGCAAACAAATCAAAAGGATATATAAATACATCTGGGCATTCCCGGGCAAAAATGAGAAATCAAAACCAAACTAGAGACCCAATAGGCACAAATACTCCAGGCATTCCCGGGTCCAACTATCAAAGTCGATATGATATACACATGCATCCGGGCCTACCTGGGCCAAACAAATCAAAAGGATATATAAATACATCCGGGCATTACCGGGCAAAAGTGAGAAATCAATACCAAACTAGAGACCCAATACATAAGACTCAAATTGAATCAAAACATACGGATACAAAGAAAACATAACTTTGTATATGAGTGTTTTGATTTGTCTAATGATACAATCAACATGAGGTATTAAATCCTCAAAAATCAACCTATTTCTAGCAGTCCAAATGTGGTAAATGGTAGAAGCAAGTGCAATTCATTTCACCTTACTTTGCCAAGTAGTTCCCCGACTCTCCTTTTTCAACCATTTAAGGGCGCATTGAAGTGTAGACATTGATCGTCGAAGCCCAACCCACATACGGATATCATCCCAAACTGACCGGTTAAAGGAGCAAGCAAAAAATAGGTGCGAAGTGGATTCTCCTGCACCCATACATAGGCTGCACCGGTCGTCAATATGAAGGTAATGTAATCTGTCTTTTGTTAACAGCTTTCCTTTAATAGCTAACCATGTAACAAAAGCATGCTTAGGTGTAACAAAAGAATTCCACACTGTTTTTGCCCAGATAACCTTTGCTCCTTTCGGCCGAAAATGTTCATATGCATTAGAAACACTGAAATTCCCAGCAACAGTCACTCAGCCAGCATGTTTTCAGCAGCACTGGCCAAATTTTCAGCTCCCAGGCAAGTGTCTCGAATCTGCAACAGTTTTTTCATCAGTGGAGAGTCCTATTTCCTCGATGAGAAAGTCCAAATGTTGTTCCCCTGTAGGTAAACCTGATTCACCCATTTAATCCACAACGTATCCTTCTTAGAATGAATATTCCAAATGGTCTTTGAAAGCAAAGCTGAATTCCAGATTTTAATATCCCTTAGCCCAAGACCACCTTCACTCTTCGGTAGACAAATATTGCTCCAAGAATCCAATGGTTTGTTCCTTCCCCAAAGAAAATTATGGCAAAGAGATATAACTTTTGAAACAACTGTTGACAGAATGTGGAAAATAGATAACCAAAAACATTCAACATCTTGCAACACGGCTCTCACAAGCTCCAATTTGCCCGCATATGATAATGAAGCCCTAGTCCAAGCACCAATATGTGCTGTGATTTTGCCAATAAAAGCATCAAAATTGCTAATTTTGAGTTTTTCCGCCGCAAGAGGAATGCCCAAATAGCGAAAAGGCATAGACCCTTTAGGAATATTAACAATCTCAAGAATATCATCCTTGTCTTGTCCGTGGATCCCCGCCATATATACATTAGACTTTTCAACATTCATTTGAAGTCCCGATATGTCCCCCAAACTTTGCTAGACAATCCATCAAAATAGAGACTGAAGTGACATCACCCCTAGCAAATAACATCAAGTCATCAGCAAACGCCAAACGTGTGATCTTAAGTTGAGCACATTTCTGGTGGAAATTGAAATCACTATTATCAGTAGCGCCCTTCACCATTCTAGAAAAGTATTCAAGGCACAAGACAATTAACAAAGGGGATAAAAAGGTCACCTTGACGAAGACCTTTCTTTCCTTTAAAGAACCCATGTATACCACCACTGAGAGAGATAGAGAAGGATGGCGTTGATACACATTCCATAATCAAATCAATGAAAATGGTAGGAAAATTCAATCCCTCAAGCACATATTTAAGGAAATCCCAACTAACCGAATCATAGGCCTTCTTCAAATCAATTTTTAGGAGACATCTAGGGACCACCCTCTTGCAGTTATATTGCTTCAAAAGCTCTTGAGCAAGGTGAATATTTTCCACCATACTTCTTCCCTCAACAAACGCCGCTTGGGTATGATCAATAATAGATCCAAGCATAGCCCCCAACTGAGATGCTAGAATCTTAGTGATAACTTTATAAAACACATTGCAACAAGCAATAGGTCTATAGTCCCCCACCGAAGAAGAGTGAGTTGCCTTAGGAATCAAAATAAAAATTGTGTGATTTGTTGTATTTTCTTGCATTTATCTGATTTGGATTGGATCACGAGGTTCTATATTTGTCCCCCGAATTTTGCCCTTTTTGTTTGGTATACTCAGAGAGAAATGAAGAGACTGAACTGGTGGGTTAAGTAGCCGAGGGGCCTCAAGGGCATCAATAACTGGATGCAGAAAAGAAGGTGAGATTTCTTTTTAGTTTTCATAAGTTGCAGCGATTTCTTTCCGTAATATTCTTGCTCATTTGGGAATATGAACTAGGTTTGATTCAGTTTTCAAATATTTATTGTCGAATTTTTGGAATTTGTGACTGAATGTCAAATGAGTTGCTTTCATTTGTTGAATCCAGTGATTTGAAGAGTTGACTTGGTTGCAGTGAGGCAGTTTCATTAATCATACGATTCATTTAGGAGCAGGGTTCTTGGTTTGGTTTTTATCTATTAGTTTAACTTTGATGATTGAATTGGATATTGGTAGTCATATAATATAGTTATGGGTTGGCTTTGTATATACTCATGAGGCAGTGTCGAGGGGGGCAGCGCCCCTCGTGGGGGCTCGAGGGCAAAGCTCCAAAAGGGAATTTTGATTTTCATGTATGTGTTGAAGAGTATATTTGGCGTCTTGAAACCAATTTCGAATGAATGAAAAATTACGATCTAAAGATGGAAGGAAAATAGAGGAACCCAGATAATACTGTCCCTCGAGCGACAGGTGGTTTCGCTCGAGCGACGTCGAGCTAAAAGCGAGCGACCAACTCTCTGAAAGAGCCGCTCGAGCGATATGGAGGGCAAAAAGAGGGCAAAAATGGATTCCCGTGTCTGTTGTGTTTTGGCTCGCAACACTTCGCCCACAACCCCTCATCCTCTATAAATAGGACGCTTTGGACGTCCTTTTTGCATACCATGCCATTTGTGCATCAAGCATAACATAACTCTCTTGCCAAAACTTTCCCAAATTCATTTCAAAAGTTGTTCCTTTGTAGAGAGGGAAATCCGTTGAAGTTCCCCGTCATCTTGTGGTTTGAAGTGCTGCTACCACAAGATTGAATCCGTTGTATCTTGAGAGACAATTGCCGTCAAATGTGAGTACCATAGCAGGGCAATATTGTCTTAAGAAAAAAGTGTCATCACTTGTCTCGAATTTTTGATGTTGCTTTCCAATTCCTCTTCTTGTTTTTTCTGAATTTTGTTCTTATTTTGCGTAGTATTTTTTACTGCATTTCGTCACCTTTTATATTCGAATTCTTTTGGTTTAATCACGCTCCTGCGAGTTAAACTTTGTCCTTTTCTTTATCACATACAAACAACCATTTTTCCGCCTATTTTACACCCCGGCCCCAACAGTTCCTAATCGGGACGCCCCTCTTCACTTGGCTCTAAATTTTGGTGATGACACTGTAACTGAGATGCTTATGCTTTCAGGGGTAGATCAGAGCTTGTAGAATGAACAGGGATGAAGTGCACTTCAGGAAGCAATTTACAATAGGGAAGAAAGAATTGCGAAGATTATAGTTCGGCATTACCAGCCATTGGCTTGGGCAAAATGGTGCAGAAGGTTGCCTCGGTTAATTGGGAAAACGAGAAGGATGAGGGATTTTTACATGGAGATCAGTTTTCATTTTGAGAGCTCGGTCATCCCTTTCATCACGAGAATTGCCCGTTCTAACACGTACAAATTTTGGAAGAGGGATGCCAATTTGAGGGCAGATATGACTTTAGCTGGTTTCGATGGTTTCAGAATTCAGCGCTCAGATCAGAGTATACTTTTCCTTGGTGATGGTTCTGTGGATAGAAAAGTTCCTCCAGGGTCACTTTGTATGGTGTCGCACAAAGATAAGGAGGTCCTGAATGCTTTGGATGGTGCTGGAGCTCGAGCAACTGAGGCAGAAGTGCAGCAGGGAGTGACTGCCATGTCTCAAACCAATTTATTCAGGCCTGGGATTGATATCACTCAAGCAGTTATTTTGCCTCGAATGACATGGAGGTGACAGGAGAAGAGGGAAATGGTGGGTTCCAGGGAAGCTAAAGTTTATGATATGCATAATGTCGTTGCAACTATTAAATCGAGGAGGGTTCGTGGAGCCATGACGGATGATGAGCTCTTTAACTCTTCCAATGAAAATGAAGCAGCTAGAGAATAACTCGATGATATATTGACAGAGGAACAGAGAAGGCAGCTTGAGATTGCACTCAAGTTAGATTCATCATATTTAAGCAATGAAAATGAAAATGGAATTATCGCACACCGCCATAGTTGTTATGAGCAAAGGGATATGTCATATTCCCATTGAAAATATAAATGGGTGTAGAAATGGAGAATATCGGCAGGGAAAAAAGGATGGTTCAACAACTGGAGGAAATGGGAAAATAAACAAGAAGGGGATATAAAGATTGCTCCACCAAGGAATTCTCTATACTCTGAAGAGAAGGTTAGTGATTTTCTAGAGGATTCACCTACTAGAAGTCTGAATAAAGCTGGAAGGCACTCTGTGGAGGTGGTTGTGAGCGTGACGAGCATCAGAAAGTAAAGGAATCGAAAGCTTCTTCATCAATAAATTCTGATAGTGGAAATTGCCGCAAGGATGGAAGCCGTGAGGGTGAGTATAAGAAAGGGTTGAGGCCTGTTCTCTGGCTTTCTCCAGAATTCCCACTACAAACTGAAGAGCTTCTACCGCTGCTCGACATTTTGGCAAACAAAGTTAAAGCTATACGGCAATTAAGAGAATTACTCACTTCAAAACTTCCAAAGCCAAAGGGGAGCTTCCCTGTCAAGGTACCTTATTTCTAAATTAGCTTTTTAAATTCTACGCATGCTTCTAATTTTATAAGGTTTGGTAGATCATGGCTCGTAGCAAGTGAGCTTTAATACCTGATCTCAATCTTGGCTGATTCTTTATCTTTTTCTGTGTATATAATTATATACTTCACATCAGGATTATGAATCTCTCCTTGACTGGATTAAAATAAATTGGTAATGTATTTCTACTTTTTCGTCAACATACTAACTAGAAATAAGCCTTTTTGAAGAGCCTTTTGCATTATGAATGTTGGATGTTGCTCAAAGTTGTGCACATTGCCATTTAAATTGTAGGCATTACTTTAATATACATAAACAACACTGGAGATTGCCAATTGGATACCATTTGATGTTTGGAGTTTTTTCTGCCTAAAGAATTGGAACCCTAAGATTGTGCATGCATGTATTTTTTTGTTCATTTCTCCAAATGAATGTGGCGATTCTATTTCCTATATCTATTGTGCTGAAAATTTTTCTTCCTCTCATTTGGTGCATTTTGATTATTTCCTTATGGTATATTGGTGATGATCATTGTTTTGGGGAATTGAGACTATTACAAGTAA